GCAGGCAGCCAGAGGTAGACAAGCTGGTGTTTTGAAATGTACTGAGTGAAAAACATTGCCTTTATTATCATTCTTTTGAACTTATAGTAGCAAATTAATAGATTCAGTGAAACAACTGAAGGCACATTTATATCCAGAATAGTCACATACCTAATCAGGGTTAGTAGACAGAATCAAAAATAGAAATTGCTGGAAAAACTCAGCAGATCTGGCAGCAGAGAAATCAGAGTCAACATTTCAGGTTGAGTGGTCCTTCCTGAGTAGACAGAATCACAGGATCAAATAATTGTTACAGTACAGAAAGAGGTCGTTTGGCCCATCATGTCTGTACTGACTCTTCAAATGATCATTATGATTGAATATCATTCTCCTACCTTTTTCCTCTAACCCAATGCATTGTTTCATCTAATGCCTACCTAAATTCCTCAGCTGAACCTGCCTCTACCACATTTCCAGGCAGTGCATTCTATACTCAAATCACTTGCTGTGTGGAAAAGTTTCTTGACACCTCACATTTGCTTTTTAAAAAATCATTTAAATCTGCCCTCTCACACTGAAACTTATGATGAGTGGAAATAGTTTGCCTCTGTTTTCTCTATCCAGACACCTGATAATTTTCAAAACTTCTGGTAAATCTCCTCTTAGCCTTCTCCTTGCTAAGAAAAACAGTGCCAACTTCTCCAAACTATTCTCAGAATTGAAGTTTCTCATCCCTCGAACCATGCATCCAAACGTTTATCACACTTTTTCCAATGTGTTCTTATCCATCTTATAGCGTTGTACCCAGAACTGGACGCAGTACCCCAGCTGAGGTCTAACTAATCTTATACAAGCTCAGCATTACCTTCCTGCTCTTAAACTCTATTGACAAACCCAGGATATTTTATGATTTATTAGCTGCTCTCCAGCTGTCCTGCTATATGTAATGACTTATGCATATATACATTCATGTCTCTGTACCACCTTTAGAGTAATACCCTTTATTTTATCCAGTCTCTCCATGTTCTTTTTACAAAAATGGATAACCTCACATTTCTCCCTATTGAACTTCATCTGCCAACTATCCACCCCCTCCTCCAACTTGTCAATGTCCTTTTCAAGATCTTTTAGATAGGTTCTCCCAAACTCAATCTATAATTATTATTGACTTACATTTTACAATTAAGATAAAGTGAACCCCAAACATTACAAATCAATAGGTCACTTCAGAAGATGTGCAGAAGTATGACACGATTACAAAACAGCAGGAACTCAAATAATTCACACAAAGATGTTAATGAGATGAAAGTAATATCTAATGTATTCCTAGTGGATATTGGAGATCCAACCAATTTCCTTTGAAAAGAAACAATTTATGTCAATGGGCATCTTGGTCAGTTTAAGCCTGATACTGGGGTGCGTGTCCCTATATTATCACATTGCATGCCATGAATGAAGAAACAGAGGTTATAGTCTGCAACAGTGAAACTACATGGTCTAAGAGGTAAAGTTTTCAAGATTAAGGTTGGTTACAGGCAACTCAGCATCACACATGCTGTGAGAGAGTGAAAAATGTATATGTACATCAAAATCAAGACTTCTCGCTCTTGAGATAAGTGTGTGTCTTGACTCAGTCTTATTAAAATGGCAGAAAGAATTAACTTGTTACAATTGACAGCAAACAGGTGAAAAGACAGGTAATTAGAAAAAGCCTGTTCAAAGAGATGACAGGCAAAACTGGTCAAGAAGTAGCCAGTTATGCAACCATTAGTCAAGGCAATGTTAGTTATTAACAAACAGTTGTTGAAGAATTGATCAAGGACAACCAGTCAAAGATTTTATTGGGCTTCCTAGACTCATGGCAGAGATTACCCATGTTGGTATGAGAGCATTGTTTCATGCAGTCAACAGGATGGACAGTGGTGTCTACACAGGGTTGAAGAAATATTTTTCACTTCTGTCATCACTGAAGTAAGTTCAGATGAAGAAATCAATGAAGATTGTGTGGGCACAAACTGTGAGAGAGAGAATGAGTAGTATGACCAACTTGAGGTAACTGATGAACCTTTAATTGAAGTTTTTAGAACACAGCTTGGCGAACAAGCCATTATGGCTGATGGAAATCTGATGTCAGATGATAAGATGACAATGTTTATGAAGAACATTTCAATTCTTCCTTTTCTGAGAAAGCATCGTCAGTACAACCGACAGAGACCATGCTATGTAAGCAGCAATTTTCAAGCGCCATGACTGTGGAAGTGAACATATCAGCTCCAATAGTAAAGTGCATGAAAATTTCCATTCTTAATTCTCCCAGGAACAATCATCAGGAACAGTAATAACAATCAGGCTAAGTAGGTAGCAATCGTATAGCGTGGTTGAGGAGGTGAACATCACACTCTTGACTTGTGCCTCATAGACGATAGGCTTTGTGAAGTGAGGAGGTGAGTTAGTAGTCACAGAATTCCGAGTCTCTGACCCGCTTTTGTAACCATTGTATTTATAAGACTAGCCCAGTTTAGTTTCTGGTCAATGTGTGTTGTAAGGCCATGCCACCTCACTGCACTGCTTGACCTGTTGTTCACAATGAAGGGTGGTGTCACAATCTTCTTTAAGTGTTGAAAATTACAGGGCCTGCGTGGTCTGGTGAGGTAGAGTGTGGTTTAAGTAGAAAAGACTATAGTAATTTAAAAGATACAGTTAAGTTGCTTGATAACGCAGAACTTAATAACTACTGAAAAACATTTCATTGAAGCTTCTCATCTTTTCTTCATCAGGACAATTTGCAGGAATAACAATATAAAAGGAGAACAACATTTATATTGTATGGAAGGGGAATGCTGGTTTTTTGGCAAGTGGACTCCATGGGAATATGTCTACCAATCAGAGTCTACTCCTCTCATGTGGTATAAAATGCTAATTTCCCTTCATTTTGCAGTTCTTGCAAATTGTTCTGATAACTGAAGATGAAACGTTTTGACAAAAATGTGTCTTTTTTCAGCAATACTCAATATTTAGTTTATTGCATATTAGCTACTAGTTGCAAGTTAAAATGATATGATAGACATTGTTAGAAAGACTTGAGAGGGGGACTAGACATTAGCTGTCACTTCTTTGGGGTCCTAAGCTGTTCTTTCCACAATCCACAATCCACAATTAATAATCATCAGAGTGGGTGGTGCTGATGCAACTCCTTAGTGTTAGCCCTTTCCGACCCATATACGATATTGGTAACCCCCAGGAAGGTCACTCGACCCGAACTGTTGATTCTGATTTTTCTCCACAGATGCTGCCAGGGTTGTTGAGCTTTTCCAACAATTTCTGTTTTGGTTTTTAGTCACCCCTATGATATTCATAGTAGGGAGATTCAGGGATGGCAGTGCCATTGAATGTTGAGGGGAATTAGTTATATTCTTCCTTGTTGAAGATGATGGCCCCGATGTCACTTGCCACTCAGCAATATAAACCTGAATGTTGCCCAGGTCTTGCTGCATGTAGGCAAGGATTGCTTCAGTGTCCTGAGGTGTGAATGATACTGAACATTGCACAATCACTGTGTACAGTCCCAAATATGACCTTTTATCAAACTAAGCTTGAGACCCAGACTAATGACATGAACACCTGTCGTTTATAACAAGGCTTACATGATATAAGGGACTACAATAGTGAGGTCGAACAGAATCGCAGACAACAATATATCCCTACTCAATGCACTCTATGTTCACTTTGAACAGAAGGTCAGTGAAACGATATCACCTGTTCCATCAGCCTCAGATGCAGACATTAGACCAGGCTTCTTAAGAGTGAACCCATGGAAAGTGATTGGCCAGGATGGAGTCCCTGGCCGTGCTTTCAGATTCTGTGTGGACCACGCTGGTGGCTGTATTCACAGAGATCTTCAACCCCTCCTTACTACCCCTCAAGAAGACCACCATCATCCCAATGTCAAAGAAAAATCATGCAGCGTGCCTCAATGACTGCCACCTAGTGACTTTGACCTCCATAATTA